TGGCCAATAAGTACATGAAAAATAGAAATAGAGAGGTGGACTTTGGGGTGATCAGAAGGGGATCTGTGACCCACATGTATAAATGTATTGTCTCCCTAGTGTAAGAACCCGAAAGAGTAAATAAAGCCCAAAAGGTACAATAGATATTGGGAAAGGGAAAGAAATTGCTCAAAGGGAAGGAACAACTGGGATGGGGAAAAGGAGAAAAGAAAGAAAGAAGGAAGGGGAAAAAAAAATATATATATATATCTACAAGGATAGCTGGGATAATTATACTGCTGATGTTTAATGGTTTACTGAAAGGAACAGTTAATGCTTAATTTTTTTTCTTGAGCAATTTTACATGCTTATAGTTGGTAATCTGAACAATTAATTTGAAGACAATATGCAATATAACATCCATTGCTGAATTACTACCAACTTTTTTAGTGAAGCTCTGTATCGTTTCTAATGCTTTTTTTAAAATTACCTTTTATTCTCTTTAATGGTTTGATCAATCTTGCATTCTTACATCTGGTAAGCTGAGCAGCTATGCTGAAGATAACAATAGGTAATATAACAACCATTGTTAATCTCTCTCGTTTTGTTTTGAAATCCTGTTATTGTTTTGATTGTTTTTGTGTTTTGTTTTTATCTTTGTTATGATTTTTTTATTCTCTTTAAAATAAAAAAAAGAATGGGATCTGTGGATGGATGGAAGTGGAAAGGAGGGGAGGACAAAGGGAAGCAAAAAGGACCAAGATGCACTGTGTATATGTACCAATTCCCCATGATGAATGCGTCACCATTGTAAACTAACAAAGGAGGTTCTAATGCTCAGCAGCTCCACTGAGTAGGTCTCCATAAACACGGGCCGCATGAGGGGCTGGGGATTTAGCTCAGCGGCAAAGCGCCTGCCTGGCAAGCGCAAGGTCGTGAGTTCAGTTCCCGGTACCGGAGAAAAACCAAAAAAAAAAAAAAAAAAAAAAAGTTAACACTGGCCACATGAATGATCCAGCCATACTTTACAGCGTGTATCTCAGCCATCACTGTTTATTTCACTGTTGTTTTATTATTCTCCATCTTTTTGTTCTTTTTAAAAAAAAATTATTGAGGTCTGATCCACATGGAAAAAGCTGTACACATTTAATCTATACAACTCCATGAGTTTGGGGATAAATATATACCTGCAAAACCATCACCCCCACCAAGGCCTGGGCTGATTCTCCACCTTTTCAGGAACTGTTCTTATTGCCAACTGGTCTATAGCATCTGATGAATGTCTCACGCCCTCCTGCTCCTGGTTCTCCTCCCTCGTCCACTGCTCCTTCTCTTCTTCTTCTCCTCTCAAGCCTGGGAGCCCCACTCTACCTGGGACTTCTCTGCATCTGCACTGTCTCTCTACACGACCTCATCAGTTCTAGGACTTTAATATCATTTTTACCCTACTACGCATCAACTCTTATCTCCAGCCTCCTATAGTTATCAGCCTTCTTAGTCTCCTCTCTACCTCCAGGGCATCTCAAACCCCAAACACTCAAAACAAAACTCTTGTTTTCCACTGCCTGCTCCTTGGTCCCCATCGACCTCCTCCCCCTCCCCTGTGGACTCACCCTGCTGCCTCTCCCCACACCCATCTGCCTGGGCTATGGTGGGAGCCTCCTAATTGGAGTCCTCCGTCCACATGACCTTTTATTTCCTTCTCCACAAAGCAGCCAGGGCAATCCCTTTGCTCTATAAACCAGCCACTCTCCTGCTGGCTTTTCTTCACTCTTACAAAACCCAAAGTCCTGACCAGGCTCCCAGCCCCCTCCCGACTCCCCAGTACTCTCTGCTCCACAGCTGTCCTGCTGTCCTACCTGCTATTCCTAAGCACAGCAAGCATGTGCTGGCCTCAGGCCTCTGCACTGGCTCTTCCCTCCCCCTGGAATGCTCTTCTGCATCTGTCATGGCTCCTCCCCTCTCCTTTAGCTCTTTGCTCAAATGTCATCTCTTCAGAGAGACCTGTTTGATTATCCTATTTTACATGAAGTACAACATGTTACTGTGTATGCCCTCACCCTAGTTTACCCTTTCACAGCATTTATTACTACTTGGCCGAATATGCTACTTTTCTTGGTTTACTTGATACCTGTCTGCCCGCGCCCCCAGTGTGTGCTCTCTGAGAGGGCAAGACTTTGTTTCGTTCTTTGATGCTTAGAATATTTTCTGGCTCATATCAGGAGCCTGGTCAATACTTATTACACGTATGAATGAACGAATGATTAGCAAATCCTCAGGAGTAGGGCCTCTTCCTGATCTTATTCATTTCTGCCCACCCACAGCTGCCTACCTCGGGCAGGGTACAGGGCAGCTGCTCATAAATGCTTGATTGCAGAAGAGGCAATAAACGCCTTCTAAGCAAATGAATAACCAAGCTCCTGCAAGCAATGCACAGGGCAGTGAGCAGGGAGGTGGCTTGAAACCTGCTTGTCTCGGGGAGAAAATGTTAGTCTCTGATCCTGGCTGAAGACAGCTGTTATTGGGAGGGGCACACAGGTGGTCTTAGGGAAACTGCACATAAGCTGACAGGCGCAAGGCCTGGAGCAGGTCAGCTCACACAACAGGACACTGCAGGCATAGCTGGGAACAAAGTGGTCACCATAGGCTCAGAGTAGCCAGTACTTGAATTCCCACTTAACCCGGTCTCATGTATAAGCACCACAAACCCTGTCTCATAGCTGATGAAACTAAAGCTCAGACAGATTAAGCGGCTTGCTGAGGCCTTATGGCAGTGAGTGACAGGGTTGAGATTTGACCCCAGGTCTGCTTAATTCCAGATAAAAAACTATGCGCACATTTTTCTGAGGACTCCCTAAGTGCCACATCCTATTTAAGTGTCCTACACACATATAGATCTCACTTAGCACTCATGACACTGCTTCAGTGAAATATCTTCTCTTCATTTCCTGAATTAAATTAAGAGACCTGAGTCACAGAGAGACTAAGTAACTTGCTAGAGGTCACCCAGCACTACCTGTCACAACAAATTACCTTAAATATGACCCCAACAACTAAAGATTTTGATTATAAACCACTGGCCAGGGGTAAATTTGCTCCAAAACTCTAGAAAGTGATCAACAGCAAGGTGGGTATTTTACCCACATGCCTGTTTGCCCCATCCCTCACCTCTCCTGTTTCATCCTCTCTGGGTCTGGATGATCCCCGCCTGGGTGGGGAAGGCTATAGCTGTCTCTGAGGCAGCAGGGTGCAAAGTCCAGCCCAGGCCCCGCCCCCGCACGAGGACGCCTGCCTGGCCAGCGCACACAGCAGCATTAATAGGTAATGACGTGAGGAGGAAGAGTGGCGCGCTGTGAACACAGAGGCTTGAGGCTCTCTGAAGCTTGCAGAGCCCCGGGAGGGGGAACGGGGGTGAACCAGAGTTGATCCAGGTACTGGAGTCACTAGAAATGATGGTGGAAGAGTAGGAACACCAACAGAAAGGTAGAGGACAAAAGAAAACCTGACATTATTTTCAGCCAAAGGGCAGGAAAGTGAAATTCGAGCCCAGGGTGGGAGACGGCAGGTTGAGTTCTTTCGATGTGTGTTGCCTGAAATCTACACTCAGCAATGTCCCCAGCGTCTGAAATTTCTCCCTACACATGGCTTTGGAGCAGGATGAGCTGGTGAATAGGTTCAAATGTTGCCCTTGATAGTCACTGGGCCCCCAGCTCCTGCTAAACTTCTAACTACCTCTTAACCCTGAGAGGAGGATCTGGGATGGCCCCAAGGGCGCATTTGAGGAGACTTCTGCCAGTATGAGCTGTTCCCTTCATTCTCCTACCAAGCCTTGGTCCCAGCACTCAGTGCCCACCCATGGCTCACTACTGTAGCTTTTCCCACTCATATGACTGGCAATTTGATGGCACCAACCGGTCTGGCACAGAGTGCATGGTGGAACCCTGGCTGCTATGCCCGAGCCCCTGGCACTTAGCCTCTGTGGCCCCACAGGTTTGCCTCCTAGGCTCCTCTGGGGCTCTCTTCAGGACAGGAGGGAGAAGCATCCTAATGTTGCCACCTCAGAACCCCTCAGAAGGGTGTGTCCTGTTTCACGACACTGCCCTTTGGGGCTCTGGGCGGGCCACCAGGCACACAGTTGCCCACCTCTCCACCTCTCTGGCAGGGCCTGTGGGTAGCTCCAGATATCCCTGGCTTCACCTCCATCCAGCGGCTTGCAGCAGGCCCATCCGCTGGGTCCCCTCCATGGCTCTCTCAGGCCTCAGGGCCTCAGCAGATCCTGTGCAGCTTTGGAAACAGCCCTGGGAATGCCCTGGGTGGGATCCAGAGCCTTCCAGTGAAGGTCTGTGAGGACTCAGGACATCAATGGGCCCCTCACTGGAGCTCTCCAGAGGGCATGGGGCTCAGTCCAAGGAGCAGGAGGCGGGAGCCAGGCTCCTCACACCCACACCACCTTTCCCTTTCTTCCCCAGGGCAGCCTGGCCCCAGCAGCTCCAAAGCTGCCTCTTAGATCCTAAGAAATGGTTCTGGACGGGGAGGGGTTCCACGACGGGCTCCTAACTCATCTTCAGGCCCTGAAGTGAAAGGGCAGAGAGAGATGCCAAGTTTCCTTTGTCCATTCCTTCCTCTCAGGCACTGACGCGGGGCTCACCACCTGTTCCAACAGTCCCAGGCTGGGGGCAGTGGGAGGCGGTGACTTTGCCCGCTGAGGGCGCCCTCAAGGACTGTCCCCTCTCCGCCAGAGCCGGAAGGAATCCCAGCTCCAGAGAGTTCTGAACCCCTGCGGGCAGGGGAAAGGGTCTCTTCCGGAGGCAGCCTCTTCACCTAGACTCCTGGGCCCCCTGCCTTCATTTTATTGGGGATCCCTGCTTGTAGCCAAACGGACTCCTCCGGGGGTCTCCGCCCACCCAAAGCCCTCAGGCCAGGCTGGAAAAGGAAGATTGAGCTAGAGGTGTCCACCCCCCAACCCAGGTCGCCCGGACTGCGGAGTCCGGGTTGCTTGGAGCACCTCTCGCAGCTCTGACCTTGTGCCGGAATTCTCGGGCCACCTTCCGGTCCATGGCTGGGCCGGATCAGCCGCGTCGCTGCACGACTCGCTCCTTTGGGTGCCGGGGTGTCGGGAGTTGGCCGGAGCGCCGCTGGGACCAGTGAGCCTCCCTTGGGACTAGGGCGGGGCCTGGCGCGACGGGGGAGGGCTCTGGGGCGGGGCGGGGCTTGAAGAGGGCGGGGCGGGCCGCGGGAGGCGGGAGGTGCCGGTCCTGAAGCATCGCCTCTCACACAAGCCCTGGAGCAGAAGTGACCTCCGGATGTGTGTGTGCTGGCAGAGGCAGCACTCAGCTGCGGCTGGTTTTCCTTTTGAAGGGATCCCGGAACTCCCGGTTGAGGAAGAGGATAGTGGCAGGGAGGAAGGAGGTTCGGGACTTTTTTCTGAGGGGGAAATGTGGAGGTCTCTTCATCTTGGTAACCTAGCTGACCTTCAGCCAGAGCCCAGACCCACAGGTTCATTTGATTCAATGCAGTCACAGCGTGCTTACCTCCGAGGTGCAAGGCTGGGTGCAAAACGAGGAGGCACCAGGCCCGGACCACTGAGAGGAAGAAGGTGATAAAAAACGAACGCATGGCTGGGGTGGGGCGAGCGAACTGTGGAACTTATGCCACACCTGTTTGCACCACGTCAGTGACCCAAATCAACTAACTAAAACTGTGACTTCAGGAAGATGTGATGGGCCCCTCCTGGGACGGGGAAGCAGCTCAGTGCTAGAGCATTACCTAGGGTGCAGGCGGCCCTGGGTTTGATCCCCGGCACCATAATTTTTTTTAAAGTGCAAAAAGAACCTCTATCTGGATCCCTCTCCCAACCGCTAAAGTTTTGTAAGTAGACTGTTTTCCTATGGGTAAATTATTGCCTAGTTTAAGATGTAAATTCCTTCTGAAGAAACTTAAAATACCCATATTGTCATGTGAGAGATTAAAGAGAAAGACTTGGGAGATTTTCAATGGTTCAGAAGAGACCACACAAAGTATTTCCTCCTCCAACTTACAATGCTGATTCTCTGCATTTCTTGAATGTGTCGTGTGGCTGCTTGTTTCATATTTAGAATCCAGGAGGAGTGGTCAGAGGCCTCAACGGGGACAGTGCAGCCTGTGGCCACCCAGTCCTCTCACATGACCACAGCCCCAGGAACCCCCTCCTTCCTCAGGCTTTCTGCTTGGTTTCGGGGACAGTACTGAGTCCTGGTTCTCTTCTTCATGAATGTTCCTCCTCAGCCTCCCTCCAAGACCATCCTCTCTTCTCCCATTCTGTAGCCAGTGCTATTTTGTTGTTGTTCTTGTTGAATATCTATGTGATTTATTGAATACTGTACTGAAAGTAAGGAACAATTGTTGTATGTGTACACATCTGCACTGCTGAAAAGCCAAAAAGTCCTGAATTGTGGATGGGGTATATATCACTTTGAAACTGTGTATATGTCATTTCAGAACCTTCTTTTTCACTTAATATCTTAAGAATGTTTCCATATTGCTGTAGAGTCTTCTAAGCCAGCATTCTGGGCTTCTAAGTCAGTAGAACTCTTGATCCATTCCCCAAGTAACCAGTGTCCTTGAAGACTCCATCCTTCACTGTCTCCTCTTTACCTCCCCCTCTATGCCCACGGCTTCAGATACCCTGTGTGAGAATAGCTTCACCACCCCATGCCTAGAACGGTACATGGCATAGAATAGATTCTCAACAAATTTGTAAGTGAATGAATGCATACATGCAACTCAAATTAGACCCCTGCCTACCTGGGTGTCAACTGGAGCCAATCTTCTCTTCCTTCTCCCCCTCCTTCTTCTTGTTATAATTATTTGCAAGGCCTGCCATCTAGTTGATGATCTATGGTTGGCCAAGTGAACGATGCACAAGTTCCCAAGGCTCTGAGGCCCAGATTTCACTATTGAAAAATTCCTCCTGGTCACCTTGCTGTTTGTGTCAAAGTTTTGTCAGAGTTTGTTAATGGTTTATTTATTTATTGTCAGTATCCGTTGTTGATGGGGGTAATGAGACATTTCTGTCATTCAGTCAGTATTTCCTGAGCCAGTGCTGGCATTCAGGGGACTAAGATATGGGTCATCCCCCAAAAGCATAGGATGGGAATTTGGGGGTCCCTTGGAAGTGGTGAGCCACTGGAAACACAGTTAGGACACTGCAGGCCTGAGCCCTGGCTCTGCTATCCTCAATCACAGGTCATTAATTGGCGTGTCCCAGACATCAGCTTGGCCTTGTGTAAAAGGAGAGGGTCAGTATCTCTAGTCCCTGGTGGAAGGGCTTCTAAGACTTGGGTCAGGGAGCTGGAGGCTGCACAGACAGAGGCCTTAGGGCTGAGCAATCTGAACCACAACCCCTGGGGAGGGGTAGCCACAGACCAAGAAAGGCAGAGGCACCTTATGGTAATAAGCTGGGCAGTCCTGTCACTCTAGCTCGGGGAGGAGCCAAGCGCCTGGAAGGAGGTCCCCGCGGAGAGGCTTGAGTGAGAGAGAGATCTAGAGGAACTGCGGAGGCAGTGTTTGCAGGTGCGACCCCGCCCGGGCACCTGGGCCTGGAGAGGCGCCTGGGCCTGGAGAGGCGCCTCAGCCCGACTCTACGCTCAGCCTCCCCGTCTCCCGTGCGCCCCTATGGGAGCCCGGGCGCCCGCGCTCTGCTTGCTCCTCGCTAGCATCTGGTTGCCCCGAGGTGAGCCGGTCCGGGGTACCTTCGGGTGCAGTGTCCCAGTGAGAGTGGTGTGGGCTGGGGCCGGGGCAGGCTGCGGGAACGTTTAGGGTGACTGTCCTGGACAGGTGGAAGAGAGGAGGAAGAGAGGTCAGAGAGAGGGCTGAGGGTCCCGGGAGAGGGAAGGTGAAAGGCGAGAGAGACCAGTGATAGAGGGAAAAGGGTCCTAGGCTAGGCAAGGTGGACAAGACTCAAGGCAGGGAACCAAAGGAAACGGGGGCCCAGGGAATGGGAGGAAAGAAGGAGATCCTTGCCCTGGAAGGTCACCTGGAGGCTGAGGAAGACTTGAGAAGGCTGCAGGGAGACAGGGCGTGATGCAGGAGGGCCTTCCTAGCATATGGGGAACCACGTGGGAGGCCCCAGCAGGGAGAGGCCTAAATGCAGTGGGGAATGACACCCTCTCCCCAGTCACAGCCCCCACAACGCCGGCGGGAGCACAGCCATCGCCCCAGCCAGCCCTGGAGTCCGGGTGAGTAGGTGGGCACTGGCTGTCCACACTCTGCCTCCTTCATTGTTCCTGCCACAAGTGACCCCCAGGGTCACTTAGCACGCAGGGTGGCGTGGGGCACATAGTCCTTCTTAGCCCCTGACCCATGCCAGGCTCGTTTCCCACCCAGCCGCAGCTCCCCGGAGATGACCCTCGCCATAGGGGATGCCACCACAGTGATGGGAGCCCAGGTAAGTGAGGCGGGGGAAAGGAAGCGGGCATAACTGGGCAGGGAGCTTCTTTCTGTCTGGGTCTGAGGCTGCTAGGGAGCTAAGCAGCTTACGGGAGGACTGTCCTTGGGACAGAAGGGAGCAAACAGGTTCCTGCTATGTGTCTGAAATGTGCAGATTGGTAAAACACTTCTGTGCACACTTTCCTAATCTCGTGGGGCCCTGTAGTCAGCACAGGTTCTTTTCAGAGGATAGCTGAGCTCTTCCCTCCCTCCTCCAGGTGAAAGCAGGCAGGTGAATGTTTAGGCGTAGGGTTGTCTTTTCCCTGCCTGGTCCAGAGGCAGTCAGCCCTGTGACAGGCCCCAATCCATACCCTACACGGGGCCCCAGGAATGCTGCCTTGAGATAAACAAAAATGGGGCCACCTGGTGGGAATTGCTAGGGAAGGCTGGCCAAGGAGCAGAGCCCTGCACTATTTTCCTTTGAGTCCTGGCCATTCCTTGTGGCCAGCCCTCCTGGGATCCTCTGTTTGTAGGAGAGGTGGCAGGTTTGTTTTCTCCCTTTGCAAAGCTTTGTTGGTCTCTGGGCCAGGTGACTCAAGTTCTCTTTTGAATTCTGGCCTTCCTTTTTCTCCCTTTTTCTGCCACTGCAGACATGTTACACATTTAGCCCACCTGTCCCAAGCTCCCCACAGTAACTTAAGCCTCAGCTCAGGTGCCCCAGCTCAGGGATCAGCTCTGGGTAGCTCGTGGGGCCAGCAGGCTGAGGGGCATCATTTACAGTAGGAAACAATGAGCCCCAGTCATGTGCTGTTTGGGAAGTAGGTATGAAGGTCCAAGGTGGGCCTAGGTGAGGTGGGGCGGGCACACTTCCCGTCTAATGCAGATTTCCTGGGTGTTTTACTTCTTGTTTGTCTACACTTTCAGGTACAAGTTTTAGGATCACAGTCAAGTATACTTGGAGCTAAAATGGAGTGTACCATTCTGTTTATAGCTAGAGAGACTGAAGTAGGTGGATGTCTTGCCAGGGCCCCACAGTGAGCAGGTGGCCTGGAGTCTCCTGGTGGAGCCAGGCCTGTCCTGCAACATGACACCATAGGGCTCCAAGAATCTGCATGCTTTAGTGGGAGAAATGCCCCTTACCCAAATGCATCATTCTTCAGTGGGCTCCTTCCTTAGTTAAGAGTCCTCCCCTGGAGGGAAGATGGTGGCACTTTCCCTGGCCCTGCCCTTTCTGATTCCTGTGGTCTCCAGGGACCCCAGGGTAGATTACTAGGAGGGTGGGATGCCTGGCTCCTAGGGCTGGCCTGAGTTGCAGGGTAAGCTCAGGAACCAGAGTCCAAATGGGATAAGAACATGGAAACCTGGTAAAGCGTGACCTCCCAGGGAGTCAGGACAGGGCGAGGGAGAGTATGAGATAGGGTGAGTTTGCTGGCTAAGGAGGGGCAGAGGGCTAGGGATCCAGAAACCAAGACTTCTGAATACTGGATGTGTTCCAAGAGCCTTTCTGAGGCTGGGGGTTCTGCTTCAACATGCAGGGATGGCCGTGAGGGCAGAAGACAGACAGGAGAGACAAGCACCCACAGTCTGGCCTGCAGCATGTTGTTGGCCCTGTGAACAAGAACATAAATGCTATGAGGGTAGACACAGTGCCTGGGTACCACATGGTGGTGGGGACCTTGTACTATGAGGAAGTCAAGGTCCAGCCCCAGGTGACATTAGACCCCTTGGACTTGAGTCCTGAGAGGACAGGTGTCTGCGTCATCCATCGTATAGTGACTGAGCACCCACAGTGTTCAGAACGGTCCTTTCACATGGGTTAGGCCTGGAGGTTCATGTCCAGGGAATTGTGTCTGGAAGGCAGGATTTATCAACTCCCCTTTGCTTGTCTCCTCAGATCTGTGGTCTCTGGGGCTTCTCAGTTCCCAGGACAGTGGGTGGTGACCTGTGAGGGCTGCTGTTGGACTAGCCCCAGGGGAAGCGGGTGGGGCAAGGGGCTGCTTTTGTCCCTTAGCCCTGCCTCAGGTTTGCTGTCCAGACAAGGGGTTTTGTGTGGCACTGTGAAGGACACACAGGTCTCCTGAGGAGGAAGGGGAGGTGAGGCGGGGGACTGGAGCACAGAGAGGGATGTGTTCAGGCTGCAGACCTTGACAACCTGCCACAGATGCCACTTTGGAGGGAAAAAGCTGAGCCTGTGCTCCCCAGGCCTAGGACACCCCTGGACCTCTCAGGGTTGCCCCAAAGAGGCAGAGTGGCTTCAGCACCAGCCCTGAGGGGCGGGGGAACTCTCTCCCAGCAGGTGATCATCAGAAGAGCTGTGATCTCAGGAAGGCCACCCAGCAGCCGACCCTGAAGTCAGCCTTTGCTTGTTCTCTTCTCCTTTCTGTCTGTAGAAGGAGGCTGAAGCCCTGGACGCCTTGGCCATGTCCTCTTGGGAAAGGCGGCTCCATCGGGCCAAGTGCGCGCCAGCTTGTGAGTGTCGTCCGCCCCGCAGCCTGAGGGGTGTCTGAAGGAGGGCCCTGGCACAGAAAAGGACTTCTCCCGTTTGGGGTCTCTTTCCATGTTCCCCAGCCCTGGCCTCCAGGATTACTCTCTTCCTCCTTCCTGCCTGAGGATAAGTCACATGACCGCGGCACTACGGCTCATCTGCCTGACTCCCCTGATCACCCTTCCTTGATCAGTGGCTGTTTTCTCTCCACTTCACCCTGTTTCTGTGGCTTCTTCCTATTCCCCATGGTGTTGTCCTTCACTGTGACCTGTTTCATGTGTCCTCTCACCAGTCCCATGTCTGTATCCCTTCCCCTCCCCTGTCCTGTGTCCCTGGCCTGTCCTATCACACTGTGTCTCCTTACCTGACCACACTCAGGCCTACCTCTTCTTCTTGTCCTCTGTGCCCCCTCTGGCTACTATGTTCCCGCACGGTGCCCCTTATCCCATGTCCTGCTTTGTGCCCTGGCCTCTTCTCCGACTTCAGGGAGCAGTGCTGATCTCTGGGCGGTCTCCCAGCTCACCCCATGTACTCTGACTCCATAGTCTCTCTCCACTGCCTTGCCTGGTGGCCAGGAGTTTCACTTAGGGACCTGAAGGCCCAGGTGACACATACCAAAGGCAGAGACTATAAGTCCCTGTCCCGTCTGCCACCCAGGGAGAGGGTACCTGAAGGCTCCCCTTCAGGCTAGCTTCTGAGTGCTGGGGTTGCCTGGGGCGGGCTGCATCCTGGTGCCCAGATGTGAATAGGTGGGCATCACTGGGTTCTGCTGGTCTTGGTTCTATGTCTCCTTTTCAGACTTGTTCTCCTGTTTCAATGGGGGTGAGTGTGTGCACCCCACCTTCTGTGACTGCAGACGCTTCAATGCCACCGGACCTCGCTGCCAGATGGGTGAGTCTGAGGTCCACTTGCCTCCAGGAGGGTCCTCGGGTACTGGGAAAGCTATGGGCCTGGCGGTACTGGCTGGAGGAAGAGGGAGCAACCTTGCCAAGGCTGGAACCCACAGCCTCCGTCCTGTGCGTATCTCAGCCGGACACTTTCTTCCCATCTCAGTGTACAATGCCGGGCCTGAGCGGGACAGCATCTGCCGGGCATGGGGACAGCACCACGTGGAGACCTTCGACGGCCTCTACTACTACCACTCTGGCAAGGGCAGCTACACATTGGTGGGGCGTCATGAACCTGAGGGGCAGAGCTTCTCCATCCAGGTGAGGCCTCCCCTGCCCTATCTGCCCCAGAAGCTGGGCTTCCCCAGGCTCTGCTTGTCCCACAGAGGCTGGCACCTTCCTGTCCCCTACACCCTCAGTTCCTGCCCAAGGAAGGAGTCAGGGCCACCTGGAAAGAGCCAGCTCTCTCTCACCCACTCACTTGTGGTCCTGACCATTCATTCGTTTAGTCACAGATTCATTAAGTATTGAGGTGCATATTGTACTCTTTTCTGGGCACAAGATTTAGTGGTGAGAGGCCCTGAGATAAAAGATGGATATGGTCTTTATCTTCATGGATCTTACAGATTTATGGAGAAAACAAACAATAAATCAAATGAATCATTTCAAGGGCAACTGGGTGCTACAGAGGAGAAATGCCAAACGCTAGAAATCATGTCACTCACACCCTAGCTCTCTGTGTCACCCCTCTGCGAGCCACATGTACTCCTGCCCCAGGCATAGATCTGTTGAAGGCTGCCCTGGACAGCCTGGGGACCTTGATCTGTTCTCCCTTCTCTACCTTGGGCTATCACACAACAGAGTTTTTCATGACTATGTCATTTCATGATAGATGCGTTACAGTTATTTACACTGATGGGGGTACTGCACATTAGTGGGTTAGGAAATAAACTTAATGAGTCACATCACATCCAGCATTAAAAGAGAGAGAGAAAAAATATAACCATGCATTATACATTGATATGGATATTATTTTTAAACTCTGTTTTATTTATATATGTATTTCTTACTGTGAATCATGATCAAAAATGCTTGAAAAAATTGTTAGACCATAGGTGGCTTTTGCAGGTCCCACTTTTAGCTGCAGTGTCTCCAGACTGCTTATCTACATTTAACAGTGGTTGGGTAGAAGACAGGTTCCTGGGGGGGAGTTTCTACATGTGACACGGAGACACTGGCAGACCCTGCCCCCTGCCCCAACCTGTGGGTCTGTAGGCTTTGAAGTATAGGATCTGTATGTATGGGGGACAAGCAGTGTAGCAGTGATGTGTGTGGCTATGTGTGCAGGGGAGGACTAGGCTCTGCCTGCCAGGGCTGTGTGTTTGTAGTAAGTGTGTGCACTGAAAGTGTCCTCCAGTTATACATGGACATGTGCATTTGTGTTCCATGTGAGTATGAGCTGTCAGTCTGTTGGGATAAATAAAATAGTTCAGAAACAGGGAGATGGAACAATGACCTGGAATCCAAGCTATGGAGACCTGGATGAGGATCCTGGCTCTGCTGTTTCCTACCTGGGTGAGAGTGTGACCTCATCCACTCTTCCTCTCTGCACATCAGATCCCTCCTCAGGGAAATGCAGACAGTCATAGCTCTACCCTCCCTGTGGTGCTGGGGACTGGAAGAGATCTCAGAGGAAAGGTGCTAGGTCCACCAGGGCGACACATTCATTTTGCATGAGGGGAAATTCAACAAGCCCTGCAGGTTGTGGTGAGGTCTGTGACAACAGACTGCCTCTGAACCCCCAATCAGGTGCACAACGACCCACAGTGTGGCTCCGCCCCCTATACCTGCTCGAGGTCTGTCAGTCTCTTCCTAGCTGGTGAACAGGAGATCCACCTGGCCAAGGAGGTCACCCACGGAGGCGTGAGGTAATCAAGGTTTCCACCCTGAGCTACCCTCCTCCGGACACAGGGCAGGGGACATCTGCCTTTCTCAAACCTAACGGAAATCGTTGTCTGGGGGCAAACAACACTCTCCATCATTAGGGTCAGCTGGGTTTCCGGGTCAGTGGAGTTGGCAGAAAGATGAGTCCTGAGTAGTTTTGCGAAACTCTTGGATTCTGTGATTTTCCAGATAGGAGATTTTAAGGAAAATGACAGAATTTTCTAGAGTTGAGAGCTTGTCATGACAAATAGGTTTACATTTTCTGCTGTCACGATTTGACAGAAAATCTTCCTGAATGTATCCCAGGTTCCTGCGTGCTCTGAGCAGACACTGGATACTTTGGCCCTTTTCTGATGCCACAGGGCCATTTTGAATATGAGTTACCTTTCTGGGTGTTCAGGGACACCTAGGAACCATTTGAGGGGTGAAGATTCTTTGTTCCCACACTATCTGGCCCCAGACTGTGGCCTGGTCTGAAATCTTTCTCACGGTCTGTTTCTTCCCTTGCTGACCACTGTTACTGCAGATCACTTCCAAAAGGGTCTCTCCTGCAGTGACTTTTCCCCATCCTCATCTTTTGCTTCAGATTAGAAACTGGACACCCAAGCTCTTTGGGGCTGAGGGTAAAATTTAAAAACCCAAAGATTTCTCTGGCAAGGAAAACATTGGTATTCAGGTCTTTTAGTTTGTTAAATTCTACTTCTGTTTCTTTTTTCTGATTTTCAGCTGGGACAAAAGTTGCTAAATTCCAGATTGGCTAGGAGGTCTCATACCAGCAAGACTGGCAGAGTGCTCAAGAGGACTGAGCTCTGTGCCGTTTCCAGCTCTCCTAGTTTTCCTCCTGTCTTGGCTTGTCTTCCCACTCTATTCTTTCCCACTGGAAAAAAAAAAAAAACCCAAAACAAACAAACAAATACAAAATCAAGGTCCACGTATATCTTCTCTCCTGTTGGGAGAAAGGGGCTGCCAGATTCAGTCATTCTAAGATTTATCTCTGCCAGGGAAATTGCATTTTGCAAACTCTCCAAAGAGAAAAGAATCCCTAGTGATGTACTTCCAGGCATTTGGGAATTCTGGAAATTCAGAGGGATGAGATGTGGACACCTCAGACCACTGGGTAGGGGGTGCGTGGTTCCTTGGTGAAGGGATGGGGCCATGCGGGTGATGTGATGCCCTGAAGCTCTGGGCTTGCCCCACAGGGTCCAGCTGCCACATGTGATGGGGGGTGTGCATCTGCAGCAGCTGGCTGGCTACGTCATCCTGAGGCATCAGTCTGCTTTCACGCTGGCTTGGGATGGTGTCTCAGCTGTCTACATCAAGATGAGCCCGGAGCTCTTGGGCTGGACCCGTGGCCTGTGTGGGAACAACAATGCTGACCCCCAGGATGACCTGGTAACCAGCTATGGTGAGACGCAGGGGCAGAGATGTGAGGTTTTGGTGGGAGTGGGGACTGGGGGAGACCACTGGGGTCATGGTCATGGTATTAACAACCCCGTGGGAAGCCAAGGGTCTCTTTCTAACAAGTACATGGCCTTAGGCATGCTCTCAACTACTCATTTCCTTACTTGTAAAATAGTCATAATGAGCATCTCTATTAGTGTTGACCGCAGATCTAATGGGCACTTTCCAGGTATGATTGACAAAACAAGGCAGTGGGGGAAGGAGGAGAGGAGCAGAGTGCCAGCCAAAGCCAGGAAGAGATATGGCCCAGCAGGAGCTGGAGGAATCTGGTGTTGGGTGGGAGGAAGTAAAAGTGAAGGGCTCAGGGCCAGGGTGGATGGTTCTGGCTGAAAGAAGAGAAATGACACCTTTTGAGCACTTGCAGGATACTAAACACATTACTGCATCATGTCAAGTACTCCTTGCAGAACTCTCTCTGGGCAGCAGTGGGTGGTGGGTGGGGGATGTTTTCCCTTTTCTGCATATCGGGAGACTAAGGCTCAGGGAGGTGCAGGAACGTGTTCAGGCTCACACACTGCTCTCCTCTTGATTGCACGGTGTTGCCTCCTGTGAGTCTGCAGCAGCAGGGAACCACCCCAAGTCCTTGAGCGCTCTTGACTATGATGAGCAAACAGCTTTTCCAGGTGAAAGGCTCAGCTAGGAACCCCAGATTGGGACGGGAACTCAGGAGCTGCCTTCTCCAAAACTGCTTACCTACCTACGTCCGGGTTGTCCCCTCAACCGTGTGATCATGCTAGTTTTCCCTTGCAGGGAAGCTGACAGATGATGTGACCGAGTTTGTGCACAGCTGGCAGGAGCAGGCCCTCAACCACCCTTCAGGTGCCCTGGCAGCCTCCCTGCCTCGCCCACCATGCCTGCAGCAGAGCCCTGGAAGCATGCAGGTCTGGGCCCTGGCAGAGTCCCCAACCCTAGTGCCTAGCTATGGTTGGTTTCCTTCTAATTCTTAGAAAGCCATTGACTTCAGGGGTCAAGGTGTTCAGTGCTCACACCTCCTTCCCTTTCCTTTTCACCCTTTCTTCTTCCTCGGGCTCATGTTGGGGTTCCCTGTGGAGTTGGTTAAGTCAGAGGGCTGTGTATGGCCCTGCCAGCTCCCAGCCCCAGATCCTGGCTCTTACTCTACCCAGGGTGTATACGAGCGCTGTGAGATGTTGCTGCGATCCCCCTTTGATGCCTGCCACGCCTATGTCAGTCCTCTGCCCTTCACAGCCAGCTGTACCAGCGATCTCTGCCAGTGAGTGGACAGCCAAGAGTCAGGGGTGTTGCGAGCCAGAAGTTGGGTTGTGGGCAACTCCTGCCAGTACTAGATTGAGAGTTGAACATGTGAGCCACCGAGCCTGATAATCCCAGGAAATGACAGAGCTACTTCCCAGAATGCTGGGATTCTTACCTGCCTAGGTGAGACAGAGCTTCCCCATTCAAGTGAAGCCCAAAAATGAGGCCTGATTCCTTCAGGGTTGCATAGCAATTCAGTGGCAATGCTCTGACCAGAATCCGGCTTTCCTGCCTTGAGTCCAAGCATCTGTATACTTTATTTATTTATTTATTTATTTATTTATTTATTTATTTATTTAGGTTTTTCTCCTGTACCGGGAACCGAACTCACAACCTTGAGCTTGCCAGGCAGGCGCTTTGCCGCTGAGCTAAATCCCCAGCCCCAATCTGTATACTTTAGATGCTTTCCCAGCCCCCTTTCCCAGTTGAGGGAGAAGAGGGGTATCTTGAAGTACTGGCAGTCTCTATGGGATGTGGGGGGACTGGTGGCAGGCTAGGCACTTCTCCAATGTGACCCTTGGTTTCCTCACACAGATCAGGGGGTGATGAAGCCACCTGGTGCCGGGCCTTGGCGGAGTATGCCCGGGCATGTGCCCAGGCTGGGCGGCCCCTACAGGGCTGGAGGACCCAGCTTCGACAATGCAGTAGGTGCAGGCTGGTGGCGGGGAGGAGGGCTTCTGACAAGCCCTGATGTGGGCTGTGAGTGGCATCCTCAGGCCTCAGCTTAATACCCTGTTCTGCTCAGGATCATGGCTATCAGAAGTTTATTTCCTGAGGTTCCATCTGCATGTTACAGATGGGGTAACTGAGGTTCAGAGTGGGAGGGACTGGCCTGGGGCCACAGAGTGAGATGAAGGTGGCTTTCAGACCCTGTCAGGCCCCCACTAATTTCCTGGGTACTAAGAGCTTCCTGTGGGACTAGGAATGGGGAAAATCCAAGCCCTGTCACTCCCATCCCAGGGCCTGGGGTGGAAGTGCATCCTGGTGGAATCGACCGACCAAAGGCTCCCTCTCTCTCAAGCTGTGCACTGCAAAGAGAAGGCCTTTACCTACAATGAGTGCATTGCCTGCTGCCCTGCTTCCTGCCAGTCCCGGGCCTCCTGTGTGGACAGCGAGATTGCCTGTGTGGATGGCTGTTACTGCCCCAACGGTATGAGCGGGAGGAGTGGGGGCCTGGCACAGCTGGGCATGCAGCAGGGCCTCAGAGGATGCCTGTGTGGAATGAAGCAAAGAGGGAACATCTAATAAGTGGATAAATGCGTGAATGCTTAAGGCGGCGAGGGTGGGGTGAACTATGGCACCGTGTGGTGATACATCCGGGTATTGGATTTCACTGGGACTGAGCTTTGTAAGGCAGGTAGATGATGTACCATTCATTCATTTCTGCACACCCCTGTGTATAAACATCTGAGTGCAGCTCTTTATGCTGTTTTTCACGATGTAGAAATTTGCTACACATCTGCGGTATGCCATTCACCACAGGCATTGACTTCAGGAAGAAGAATCTGGTTTCAGGGATGACACGCACTGATCCCATCCTAAGATAGGAGGGTGAAAGGAAGAGATGTAGGGGAGAGACGGGGGGCTCCCTGGAGGAGGAGTACCCAAGCTGCTCCTAGATGCACCACAGGCTAGAGGAGAAACTTGTAGTGTGCAGGCGGGAGTGGGCCTCTGAGCAAAGGTCTGGTAGTGGGATAATTGCCAAAAAATGGGTTCAGTTTAGAGGGGAGAGTTTGAAAGTAGGCTCAGAGGTGAAAGAGCTTCATAAGGGGGGGTCTTTCTCACTGACCATGAGAAATCATGGGCAGCTTGTAAACAGGGTCAGGATAAGTTAATTGGACCTTTGCCATCACCCTAGGGCTGATCTTTGAGGACGGGGGCTGTGTGGCACCAGCTGAATGTCCCTGTGAATTCCATGGGACCCTGTACCCTCCTGGCTCTGTGGTGAAGGAAGACTGCAATGCCTGGTCTGTGCCCACTTCCCCGGGAGGGGGTGGTGGCAGCGGCTGGGAGGCTGGGGCGTCCCCGCAGGGCTGCCTCCCCGAATCAGGAATGCTGCGACATGGGGCAGTCACTCAGCTCCCCGTCCCAGGGGACTGCACTAGATCCATTCCTTTGGGGACTCTCCAATATGGCAGCTAGCTCAGGCCCGGGGAGCGACCCTCGCCTCTGGTCTCTGTTCTAGCACCTGTACTGCGGGCAAGTGGGTGTGCAGCACGGCTGTCTGCCCAGGTACGTCTGACATTCACCCTGCCTCTGCCTCCTCCACCGGTGTCCCAGGTTTTTGGGTAGAGAGGTGCTGGGGGCCAGGCCTGCTGGGTTGTGGGGGTTGTGTAGGTCTGACGCCCTTTCTGAGCTTGGAGGACTTGGGCCAAGACTGGTCCCCAGACCCAGGGCCTGGTGTCCCTTCAGAGGCAGGGTGTGTCTATCATGGGAGGCCTCAAGGGCCAGCCCTCGAGGAGAAGGCTCTTACCCTGCCCTGGTTCTGGAGCACGAGGTGCTGGGCCTCCTCACACCGGAGCCTTCAGGGCACAGAGCGTCCTTGCGGGGCAGCTCCTGTGGGGCAGCGGCCTTTCTCCGCCCCTCAGCCGAGTGCTCAGTGACTGGCGACATCCACTTCACGACCTTCGACGGCCGGCGGTACACGTTCCCCGCCACGTGTCAGTACATCCTGGCCAAGAGCCGCTCCTCGGGCACCTTCACAGTGACGCTGCAGAACGCCCTGTGTGGTCTGGTAAGGAGGGGCACCCTGGGTCTAAATCAGCCCCTAGGGGGACTAGGATTTAGGGCAGAGCCCTCGTCTTCCCATGTCCAGCTACCTGCAGCCTCCTCTGTCTAGGCAGAGGTGGGTCAGGAGCCTACGTTTTGGCCCTTGTCTCTCTACTGGCTGAGTCACTTCCCTTTCCTAGGCCTCAGTGTTTTAAAGAAATCTCTAAAATGGGTCTAATTCAACTTCCTTTTCTGTGCTTTGTTGCATTGGGTTTTCAACATCTCTGTGTTCATTCATTCATTCATTCATTCATTCATTTAGCAAGCATTGATCACCTGCTGGTACCAGAAGCTGGACTATGTCACAGAGGCTGGCATGAGTTCGACAGGGTTTGTTTGGCTGTCTTGGGCCTTACAGTTTGGAGGGTGAGGCGGATGTGAACCTTTAACCCACGACATTATAGCGGGACAGGTCTCCATGGAGGAACTTCTCCCTGTTTTTGTTTCAGTTGTGCGCTGAGTGGCAGGGGTGAAGTATATCAGGATAGGCTTCCTGGAGGAGGTGACCCCTGAGCTGTGTCAGTCACCTGTGAGCATCATTGAGAAAATGGCCAACGTGAAGCTTTGGGGTAGCTGTGGGTTTGCCTGTCCGTGGTGACTACATTGTCCCTGAGCTAACTGCTGAGTCAAACCCACAAGCCTTGGTCTTCATAACAGGGCAGGGGCTCGCACCCACAGACAGACAGACACCCCACTCCTCCTCCAGTGGCCCTGGAGCCCCAGGCTGGGCTGTGGGGAGGTGAAGCCTGGGCTTCCTTCTTCTCATGGCCCGATGACCCCGCCTTTCTCTGCTAGAGCACTCTCTGGCCTGCCCTCACGTGATCTCTGCTGGGGAGACTGCTTGTCCTCAAAAGTGGGGCAGCTTCAGTCACGTCCTGAGGGTGGCAAAGAGAGGACAGACAGACAGACACAGCCCGGCCAGGCTCCTCCCCCTCCCCCAGCTCTGGACTATTCCATTCCCCGAGGGCTGTTGGGCCCCTGAACCTGTGACAACGCCTTGCTGCTGGACAGCACCTCCTTGTGACTTCACCCACGCAATGAACCCGTGGAGGCCGGCCCCACGCCAGCTGTGTGCCAGGCACTGAGAGGCCTACATGGGTGAAGGAGACTTTAACCCCCTCTCTCGGAGCTCTCCTATATTACACTTGTTCTGGTCCACCGTACTGCGGATAAATTCCCAAAATATTACAAGGTTCTTGCACCTTATCTTAACCCATTTTACCCAGTGGACTCTGGTCCTTCTGGTCTTTTTTATGTCCTTAAATGCATTAAATGCTTTCCTGTGTTGAGGCTTTCGTAAGGCTGTTCCCTTGACCCGAACGTTTCCCTCCTTCCCTTCTCTTTGCTCAGCCAGCTTCTGTGTAGCTGCAGATCTAAGCTCAGATGTCACCTTTTTGTGCCTCAGTTTTCTGATCTGCAAGTGGGTCATGCTATGTAGTTAAGGCTGGTATGCACTCACTCTGTAGCCCAGGTTGGCCTCAAACTTGAGGCGATTCTCCTGCCTCAGCCTCCTAAGTGCTGAGATTACAGGCATGTGCCACCACACCTGGCTGAAAATGGGGTTGTTAATAGTACTTACAAGATTGCCATAAGGACGAAGTGAATGAATGTAGATTGGAACAGCATCTGAACGCAGTAACTCCATATTAAAGCTGATATTAATGCTTTTATTGTTTTGAGTACTTTACATTAGTATCTTCATTTCCTAGGGTCTTTCCTACCTCTGCAGACTGTTTGGTTCCTTCATGTTCTAGCACCCTTTCCCCCTGGCTTGTAGCACTAATCACAATTATAATTAAATAACCAACTATGTAGTTACTTATTTAATGTCTGTGTCCCACATGAGTATATAATCTCCTTGAGGACAAGGACTCTGTCTGTCTTGCTCACCACTAGCCCACAAAACCTGGTGTGGGTGTTGCTTGCCCATGGTAGGCTTTCAGGAAAGGTTCATGTGAATGATTGTGGAGTCTTCCTGCAGGAAGGAGGTATGAATGGTCCCGGTGTGTATGAGCCACTTCAGATATGGAAAACCTGTGACTCAGACAGTATTAGTTATTTCTTGCCTGCCTGTCAGTGGCATGAAGGATGTGCCCTATGGAAAGAACCACATAGGTGTACATAAAAGGAAGTTAAAATTCTGGGCTGCAGCTGGGTGGGGGAGGTCACTGTTTCCAAGGCTGGACTGTGGGCCCTCAGGTTCCATCTCTGCACTGTATTTTTAGATAACCTAGAGTCAAGTGTTCATTTTACCAGCGTTATCCCAGCTCTGCTATTAGTTTTTCCAATCTCAGCTTCTGCCTGATCATTCTCCAGATGGGGGCATTTGGTTAGAAAACCCCGATATCCTTTGGGGGGTCTGTCTGCCTCTCGTGGTGCTTGCCCCTCAAGCTAGACTGAGTCCCTGCTCTTGGAGGACTCTGTTGGAGCCAGCAGGACAGACTGACCAACTTTGGTCCGCTGGCCCTTCTTTCTTTCTAGAACCAAGATGGAGCTTGTGTCCAGTCAGTATCCGTGATTCTGCACCAGGACCCTCGGAGGCAGGTCACCTTGACCCAGACAGGGGATGTCCTCCTGCTTGACCAATACAAGGTCACCCCACCCTACACAGATGGTATGGCTCAAGATGGTCATGAGAGCTATTTGGGAGCTGGCTATTCAGGCATCTTTTCTCAGTCTCCTCTGACCAAAAGAACTTCCCCAATGGGCAAGAACCCACACGGTAGTGGTGAGGTGGATCAGGCTAGGGGACGCTGGTTCTAGGAATATGGATTTCTAAAATGTGTCTTTGTCCCCATTCCAACACAACAGTGGTCTCATAGCAATATGATGATTTCTTCTAGCATCAGCTCTTGGAGGGACTGTTTCCCACCCCTATACTCGGTATTTGTTCATTATCCTCCCTGATTCCACAAGAGACTAATGCAAAGCTCATAAGAAACACATTTAACGGGGGCTGGGGATTTAGCTCAGCGGCAAAAGCGCCTGCCTGGCAAGCACAAGGTCATGAGTTCAGTTCCCGGTACCGGAGAAAAACCAAAAAAAGAAAAGAAACACATTTAACAGAAAAGACAAATCTATTAAGGTGTAAAATCCAGAACAAAAGAAAATTTTTAAGAAAGGAAGGAAGGCCACCCAAAAAAGAATAGCTACTCAAGACTAAGAAGGGTAGGAATGCACCAGGTTTAAAACAACACAGAAAATGGAAGGCATAAAAAATATGAAACTTGTTACTGAACAGGGGTTTCCTCAAGGTGCCCCAACTCAGCCCTGTGGCAGGCCTTCACTGCGTGTGGGCAAGGGCCCACCAGTGGTGGCGGTGGTGGCGGTAGTGGGTCAAGGTGCGTGCTGGCTAAATTTCCTCTTTCCGGTTCCATACCCAGACGCCTTTGAGATTCGGAGGCTGTCCTCTGTGTTCCTGCGGGTAAAGACCAACGTGGGTGTGCGGGTGCTCTACGACAGAGAAGGGTTGAGGCTCTACCTACAGGTGGACCAGCGGTGGGTGGAGGACACCGTGGGCCTCTGTGGCACCTTCAACGGCAACACGCAAGACGACTTCCTGTACGTGCCCTTGACCTGGAACTGGAAGGGGGATGAGCCTCTTATGGCCAGTTATCCAGAGGCACTGCCTGAAAGTGTGTTTGCTATGATCCTGCACTGTGCCTGACACAAATCATTAATTATTTCATCCTCAACATTTAAATGGAAGTGTTTCTTTAAAGCTCTGGTTTAGTCTTCTGTGTGCAGAAGAACCACTTGGGGTGCTTGTTTAAACATGATCCCTTGGTCCTGTTCTTTGAAAATCTGATACAAGGTGGGGCCCAAGAATCCAATTTTTTATAAGTACTACCAAGATTCTAGGACACGAAGTCTATGAACCACACCTTGAGAAATACTGTTTACAGTGAGGTCTTAAAATTGGAGGGCTTCAGGCTGAGTTTGATTTAACTCATGGTTTTGTTTGACTGTGAACACTTTTCAGTAAATACAAGTCCCCAGGGAGCCAAGGACACCGACATTCCCACTTTCTATCCCAGCAGGCCAGTGTAACTTGTATATCTTTCCTACTCCGTGCTCGAAAGCTTTTGAGTTTGCAACCTATGACCCCTGCTCCCAGTGTTCAGAGGAAGCTTGTTTCCAACCAACTGGCAGAGTTGAGAGACTCTTTGGACATGGCCACAGTTTAAGAATTTAGGAGAATATAGGAGTCAGGCCTTGTAGAAAAGAGAGCAAAAGAGTGAGCTTGAGGTTTGAGGTTCTGGCCAGTCTTTCAAGTCACATGCGTTGGGCACACAAGAGAAATTCTTTAGCCAGAAATAAGAATTTTCTGTGAAAATCAAGAAAAAGAAAACGCAGATAGCTTTCTGATACCTGTAGATTTATAACTGTAGCTTCTACTCTCTGTCTTGTTTGCTAGAGCTGATAATAGAACAGCTGTCCAGAGTGGTGGGGGCAGACCCTGGTTTAATGTAGCCTTGCTCTTTATAACACAAGTGGCCTTACCGGATCCTTAATATGAACATGGTGGGTGCAAGACACCACTCTACCACTGCAGGGTTTGGTGACTCTTGAAGATAAGTTGTGTCCAGGAAGCATCTTGTCGCCCTTCTCCCTCCACTGCCAAAGGGACTTCTAGGGAGTCTTCAGGGAGGGAAGAGAGACAGAGCCAGAGCCCAGCGAGGTTTTACATTCTTCACGATGTCTCTGTTTCTTTTTCTAATATGAAGAGCTCTGGGTGGGCACTGAAAGTATACTGTCCTAAGCCCATTTTGAGCTTCTGGGGACTGTTAATTGTGATATGTATAGCTGCACATCCATAATTCTATGTGTTTGAATGTGGCTGTGTAGGCTGCCGTGAGTGTTAGCATGTCGGGAATATACGCTCTGTGCGTGTGTGATAGAAGTGTGTGCAAGTGGTGTATATGGGCCTATGTGCGTTAGGCTTTTAGGTGAGTGCTCATGTGCCTTCAGGGTGTGCTCATGCTTAGCCCGTGACTGCATGTCTGTACATATGAGCAAGCGAGTGCATACTAGGTGGATGGTCTGTGTGTTTCCTGGGCCCACATGGACAAGTACATGAATATGGCTATGCCACGGCTGCAGGTCCCCAGTGGGTGTACCCGAGAGCACCCCGCAACTGTTTGGCAATTCGTGGAAAACACTGTCTGCCTGCTCCCCGCTGGCCCCCAGCTCCCCACTGGACCCCTGTGATGTGCACCTGCAAGCCGGTGAGCTGGGGCACGGGGAGGAAGCACACCCTGGTGGGTGGGACTGGACTGCTTTGAGAGATATAAGAAGGGACCTCTGAGCCTGAGGATGCTGGCCAAATTCATAGGAGTGGTAGGACGAGGGTGAGCCACGGGAGGGGCCAGGAGAGAGGTGAGGGCCAGGCAGACAGGAAGCTTCATGTTGTACCCGTCATGTACGTTCACCTTTATGCGGATCCCTCAGCTCAAAGAAAAGGCCAAAGTCCCCACTGGCCTCACGCTCTGCCCACCCCTTCTGTCGCCTCCTCTCACTGCCCTCTGCTCTGCTCTGGCTTCACTGCTTCCTTGCTGCCTTGTTGCACAGCCAGGCTGCTGTCTTCCCAGACCTCTGCACTTCAGAGGCTTCCCTCCACAGTGCTGTTCCTTTGGAGAGACACGGGCCTCACCTCTTGCAAATTTTTACTCACACGTCACCTTCTCATTGAGGTCTTCCTGGCCACCTGAGTTAAAGTGGCAACTGGCTGTCCTACCCCACCTCACACTCCCTATCCTCCTCCCTACCTTTCTCTCACTCCTTAGCTTCCTCATTTGATAATTTACTAAATTGACTATATAAGTTGTTTCCTGATTATCTCCTCTTAGAATGTAAGCTCCCTGAGGACAGGGCTTTTTGTGGGTTGTGTTCTCTACTGTGTCTGTCTCTAGCAGGTAGATTCACACGTGGCACAAGGTAGTATCATTACAAGAATGTGTACACACACACACACACACACACACACACACACACACCTGGCACAATCTCTGAGCCGTGGGGAGGGAGGGAGAGGCTGAGTCCTGGGGTAGTGGGAATGCCAGACCCTGACCCGGCCCGGTCTTCCTGTGCTAGCCTCCTACGCAGTGCAGGCCTGCAGCGTGCTCACGGGGGAGCTCTTCGCGCCTTGTTCTGCATACTTGAGTCCTGTGCCCTACTTTGAGCAATGCCGCCGGGACACCTGTCGCTGTGGGCAGCCCTGTCTGTGCGCCACCCTGGCCCACTATGCCCGTCTGTGCCGGCGCCATGGGCTCCCGCTCAACTTCCGTGCTCGCCTGCCAGCCTGCGGTGAGTACCCTGTGTGCACCATGGAAGGTGGGCTTTGGGCCTGGGTGTCCACTGCCCCCTAAGCTCTCCTTTGGGGTGCTCCCCCCGGCTCCTCCATCCTGACTGCGCCTCATAGCCTGCTCCTCCTCCTCCGCTCTCCACCTCTGCCTGTGGCCCCTGTCCCTTGTCACCTGGCACATGGCACTCAGGACTCCTTCTCTTACCCTCACCTCAGTCCATCTCCAAGACTTGTCAATCTAGTCAATTCCAAATCCACCCACTCCTCACCACCTCTGCCGCAGCAGGAGCTCAGAGGCCCTCAGGCTTCAGTGCATGCGTGGCTTAACATGTGCAAGCACCCTACCCTGGCTCTGCTCCTCCACAGGTCTCAGTGCTCTGTGTGCCTCGGCCCTGGCCTGGGGCTCGACTCTCAGGGAGCTTTTAGCTGCCATTTTAAATAAATGGAAAAGGCACTGTCCTGGGAGTCAGGAGGCCTGGGTTTCAGCCCTGAAGGTAACTTGCTATGTGTCCCTGTGCAAGACCTTGTCCCTACCTGAACCAGTTTCTCCAGGGATGATTGGACAGAACCACTAGTTTGTGATGCTAGCTGCACATCATGAAATCTTTTATTTAAAAAGAAAAAAGGAAAAATCCGAGCCACATCCATGATCAACTAAACCGACTAATCTGGCAGTGGGGGCCAGGTGTCACATTCTTTTCACAGCTCCCCAGGAGGCTTTGATGCACAGCTTGGGTTGAGAGCTACTGGCCCTGACCCTGTAGGAGGCACTGTATCTGACTGTTCTAGTGTAGTGAGAGTCGGGGACTCTGGAGCCAGAGCTGGACTCAGATCCCTTTGACTTTGACCTGTGGTATGACCTTGGGCAAGTGTCTTGATTTCTTTGGGTCTCAGTTCTCCTCTTCAGGATGGCAGTCCTACCCCACAGTTGTGGGGATGAGAGAAAAACGCACCATCCCGCTTCCCACTTGCAGCGCTGTCCTGTGAGGTCACCAAGGAGTACAGCCCCTGTGTGGCCCTGTGTGGACAAACCTGCCAGGACCTGGCCAGCCCTGAGGCTTGTGGGTTTGATGACGGTGGTGACTTCAGCAGGGATGAGTGTGTGGAGGGCTGTGCCTGCCCCCCGGACACCTACCTGGACACCCAAGCTGACCTCTGTGTCCCCAGGTGAGTGGGCCAGCTTGACCTTTTGTCAGGTGGAGAGATGAGGCCAGGGGTCTGCAGGGCCTCTGAGACTGGGGAGTATACCGAGCCCTTTGTGTCCCTGCTGCGTGGCACAGCTGCAGGCCACACCTTGGTGTGTCAGATGAGTCAGGGGCCCTCCTCTGGGCCTCCCTGCTAGGCCTGCCCTTAGCTCTAGCTCTTCAGGCCACTCCAGGTGGCTTCCCCACAAGAAAGAGCAACCTGCAGAGCCGAGAGGGCTCCCTCTCCTCAGCTCCTCTCCAATTCTACAAATATTTATTTATATCCTAGGAGGCTCCACCCATTTCTAGAGAGTCCTGCCCTCACGGACTCACTTTCCAAGGTAGCACGGCAGACATGTAAAAAAAAACACATCATGAAGGGGCTGGGTGGTAAAAAGAGCTACTATGGAGGCGGGTTAAGTGGAGTGAGGGCAGGAAGTCCTGTGCTGTTATGTACATGAGGTGAGCCAGGGTGGGCCCCATCTGTGGAGGTGACAGCCAAGCAGGGACCTGAGGGACAGGAAGAAGAGGGCTCCAGGCTGAGGGGACAGCCTGAAGCCAGCCTGAGTTTTCAGCTGGAAGGCAGAGTGGGAAGAGAGAGCAGGCAGTGACCCCATATGATCCCAGGACAACTGGCAAGGCCTTTGGTGACCTCCCAGCCTGAGTTTCTCCATCTGGAAAATGGCACACTGATTGGTGGTTTTCCACTAGTGGAAGGCCTGGAGGGAGTTTGTTCTGTGGAGCAAGGAGGAATCACTCAGAGCCTTTTCTGAAAAGCTTTTGTAGCACCCCCTCTTAAGATCCTGAAGTATATTCCATCCAGATGTATACTCCGTTCCTTCTGACGGCATGTGGTCAACAAAGTAGGTCTCTGTGGTCCTACAGGAGAGAGCAAAGGTGGATGAGAAGCGCTGAGGTTGGATGAGCTCAGGGGTCCCTTCCAGGCCTGGCCTGCTCTGCTCTAAGACCTGCACATGCCCAGAATAGGCAGGTGCTCTGGAAGTTGTGATAGGAGACAAACATGTACTCAGTGTATGGCACAGGGAATGACAAGGTAGATCAGTGGATGAGGATGACCAGGCTCCTGCGCCAGGATCCACATCAGCAGGATTCCTGCCCACCACAATACGGCTTAGGGTCCAGGAATGAAGTTCTGTTCTCACCGCCTCTCCTGTCTTCTGACCACATGGAGTTGGTTTTGTGAGGTGATAGGAATCAGTGAGGCTATCCTTGTCTGAGCTCAGTGATGTCTCTGATGCCAGGCTGGCTTTCCCACTTCCGTGTCACGTGTCACAGTAGGTGCCATTACTTCTCCGTGTGTCCCTTGTGTCCCTGGCTGGCTGAGGGTGGGCTCTTTGTCCTTGGTAGTCTCTGCCCCAGGTCCCTACTCTGCTTACTTTTCCCTGTTCCTGGTTTTTGTAGGAACCAGTGCTCCTGCCACTTTCAAGGAGTGGACTATCCCCCTGGGGACAGTGACATCCCATCCCTGGGCCACTGGTGAGCTCCCTGGGCACCAGCCTCATTGTCCTTTCTTTAAATGGAAGCTGCTGATTGTAGACAGTATAGCTGAGGGGAACTTTCCACAAAGTGACACCTCCCTCCCTGCCCGTGCAGGGGGTGGAGGACAGCCAGAGGGGTTGTCTGTGGGAACCTTACAGTGACCCGAGGGTGGTGACGTGGGCTGTGCAGGTCCTGTAGTCAGTGGGTTGATTAACCCCAGCATCCCCTCCCTACAGCCACTGCAAAGATGGCGTCATGAGCTGTGACAGCAGAGCCCCAGGTAAGGCTAACTTGGGCTCCCATGGAAAGGACAGTAGGGGGCTAGAGCACCCATCAGGACAGGGAGAGCACACCCCAGCTCTTGCCCTACCCTGGGCCTTCTGCATCTTTGCCCTCTGGGTGGAGGGTGGCATCTGGACACCCTGTCCCAACCTCAGGCCCACTCTGAACATCGGGGGTGTCTGGACAGTGTCTTCACCTCCCCTGGGTCTTGGATCTTCTCAGTGTGAATATTAAGTGTCTACTGAAGCCAATTCTGTCCAGCCCAGTGGCAGGTCAGCCTGCGGAGGGCTTGGAGGTGGGGTAGACCGTGGATGTTGCTTCATTCCAGAAGCACGGAGAGGATTGGAGAACAATGAGCCAGGTGGTTAAAAAAAGGAATTTGAGGCTCAAACAGCATGAGTTCAAATCCTGACGAGCCTCACTGGCTGTGCAACCTTGGGTAACTCACTTTACCTCTTTGAACCTTCACTTCCTCTTTTGTAGATAACCTAGGTTCCTACATCCTCGCCTGTATTTTGTGTATACTCTTGAATTTGTTTTCTTTTGGTCACTTTGGTTTTGGAGTTTGTTTTTTTTTTTTTTTTTT